TTCTTTTATGGAGACTAGGGCCACATATTTCTCTTTGTTGGAGTCCCACATGAGGTATTTATGAAGTGATTTATTTTTTTGTAATTTCGTAGATTTCTAAACAAAGAGTTCAGATCCATGAGATTTATTTTCTCACTATTCTTGAGAACATCGATGTTCCCAGTTTTTCCCAAGAGAATCCAAGAACTTCAAGACCAACTAAGAGGAGTGCTTGACAATCCCAAACCTGCTCATATCATTTACCAAATAGTTAAACCTCTTAAAGGTTTGGGCTAGAGATTCACCTTGTTAAGAAAAGAAATGCTCGTATCTCTTATTGAGATCGTTGATGGTTGTTGTTTAAACTTCCACAGTGCCTTCATAAGCCACAGTTAGAATTTCCATCATCTATTGAGCAGATTCACAGTTTTGAACCAAATGATACACATGATAAGGAAGAGAGTTTCATATGGTGGCCTTTACTTTAACATCAAGATTGATAAGTCTTTTGTCATCATCATCATAGCTATTCTTTGGCTTTTGTTTCATATGACCAGCAGGGTTGATACGTGGGAATGTGTGGACTATTATCGAATATGTTAAGCATATCAAAGTCCATGGTTTCAAGAACAACCATAGCCTTTGATTTCCACATTGCAAAGTTGTGTTCATTAAAAGAGGGATCTTGTTATCAGCATATGACTTTGGATTATAGGAGGAAGACATGATAACTTGAATGTATCATAAACCTGCTCTGATACCAATTGAGGTATGTATTGATCAGATACACTCAAGTATGAATAAGGAAGAACAAACAATGAGTAAACAAGAACAGAAAAACAAGGATGATCACAAAGACGTTTTCACTAAGAAAAGGTTCTCACAAAGAGAACAGTCGCACAAAGCACGACATAAAGCTATATTAGGGTTTAACCCTAATAGCATACTATATACGATTATAGAAACAAAGATCCCACTATTTTGGGGATTAGTCTAATCTATGTAAGGTCTAATCCTAACCGCTAAGATTACGGATCAGATATCTATTATATAATTACAAAGTATATCTACATAATATACAAACGATCACGAATATAATAAGGATCATGTTGTCGTAGATGAAGTCGTTGTTGTCGCTGACATTGATGATGACGCTGGTCGACAGCATGTTTTGTGTTTGACTCATCAGATCATAAGGTGTGTCCTTACACTACATTTCGTAATGAAACTTGTACATGTTTAATATATTAAAACTTAGTGATTATGTAAATAAGATTTCATGCATTTTGTATATGTGTTATTACGATATTATAAGCAAATAGAAAGCAAAGACAAAATGTGTATAAGTTTTCAAAGGAACGATATGACCTTTTGTAGTTTTTTTTTTTTTTTTGCATTGTCAGACCTTTATGATACATATATTAGCTCTATCAAGATTAAGGAAAGAACTGTGATGGATCATGTGAGGCTATGACTATTATGCTCAGGGTCCCACAGATGACACCACTTGCTGAACCTTAGATATCACGGGTCTCGATGAAGGTCTCGAATCCGACGATGCAAGAGAGATCTGAAACTTCATACTTGAAATACAACATAACCAGGCAGGAGTTGTTCAGGAACAGGTCCCGGGAGAACCCTCTAATGGTTAAGTTAGTCGATGATCATAATTCGAGTTTGATTTGTATGAGAGAGAGAGAGAGGGGGAGAGTTAATTTACCTCAAGGTGTATGTTTGTGATATATATATATATATATATATATATATATATATAATGGAGAATCTCTTTACCTTAGGGAGGAAGTCATAAGTTAAGGTTCTTCTTTTCTTGGGATGAAGCATACGACTGAGAATGGTTCAATGGGAAGGAGCACAAAGTTGTACTTCTTGTCTTGGGAAGTAGCAACCTCACTGTCCAAGGTCGAACCTGATTGGCCGAGGCAGAGGCCAAACCTGATTTGGCTGGGGCCAAACCTCTTTGGTCGAGGCCAAACCTGAAAGGCTTAACCATATTCACCTAAATACATAAAAGGGTCCGATCAGGGATATATATCATCGAATAGTATGGAAAGTTATCGTGCAAAGTCACTATACAACCCCTATTTTTTTTATGACTTTGGGACGTAATCATTCTAAATGGGAGATAATTTTAAAACCCGCAGATTCGTTGTTATTTAATTAAAGATATATTAAGCGTTAAAAATGACTTTTTGATAGAAGATTATTTAGGATAAATAATCTTAACTAAAGTTATAATATATGTGATAAGGATTCCATAAATATAAAGAACACTGAAATCCAACTTCAGATGAAGAAGTTATGCTCCTTCGAAGTTTCATGATTAAACCAACACAGCTCTATGTATGGTAAAAATTAAAATTTTGATAGATTACTTATTAGCCTGATTGATCTAAATGAAATTTGTAGTATTCCTAAAACCAAAAGTGTGCATATAAAGAATGACCAAATTTAACTTCGTGAGAGGAAGTTATGATTTTTTGAAGTTTCAGCGAAACTGTGTTAGCATAAAAATCAAATTTTAGATCGGTCAATATTTAGCTGAATAAATCTAAACGAGAGTTGAAGATATCGTTAATAGGAATCCAACAATAGGAAGACAGTAAAAGACGGAGTTCATATGTAAAAGTTATGAATTTTACATGGTCGTTAGTAGTGTAATCTTTGTAGACTGTTAAATTTAAAATCGACTGAGAACTAGCCAACGGGGAATAAATGAAAGTTGTAGTACATAGAAATACCTATGCATGGATATAGAGAACGTCGAAAACAGAGTTCATATGGCCAATACATGAATTTTCAAAAATCTTCCCCACCTACCCGCTTTGTCACGTTGAACCATTCACCAAGCACCATGTGTCTGTCATTTGCTGGGGGATGAACCACCACCTACCACGTGTGCGGTGTGCATGGTAGGTAAGCGCGGCATGATTTGGGGATTTTGGCCCTATAAATACCCTCTTTTGCTCCTTTCGTTTCCCATACCTTCGCAACGATTCTCTCTCAATTTTATATGCATTTTGCCTAATTTTCCCTTAGTTTTTAGTATTATGGAAAAGCTATGAGGTCCTTGAGTGCTCGACAAGTAGCAGCTATTGAGTAGCCAGCACGATTTCTAGATTTTTTCAGGAAAATCTCTTTATGTTAAGCTACACTTATATTGCTTTCAGTGTAAATTATAATTATCGTCATAGTCATTATTATGAACATATAAATAAGATTTATCAGTAATTCCAAGTCATTATACTGATTGATCTACTTATTGGGATGATGTCTAGGCTGGATTTAATGAGGTGTTTAAAGTGGGATTTCCAAATAGTACTAAATGGACCCTACCTCCGATATGATCCTACCTTGTTGTTCCTTACTTGATAGGTCTTGATGTAGATATTACGATTACTGAGGAATCTAGATTGTCATTATTCGCCAGAAATATAATACTAAGACTTAGTAATGTGAATCTAGGTTACGTTAGAGGAAAAAATAAAGTACTAAGGAGAAGTTATGTCCATATTTTGAGGCATCCACTTTTATCAAGTGAGTGCACAGTCCCTTACATGAATGTGATTTTAACACATGCATTAATTAAAGTATTAAAATATATGTCAAGGAGTTTATACGTGAGCTATATGCTTATTTCCAGGAATATATGTTAGAACCGTATTTGATAATATATGACATGTGAACATGTGAACCAGATATGGTTCTATATATGTTAATATGTATATCTATTATTTTGTGATAATAATCATAAGAGTGTTATTAGAAAAGGTGTAGTAATACCTAAAATACTTTGTGTCTAACAAACACACTAATGTAGAATAGAGTTGCCTAAAGCGGAGTTGGTATTAGGTGTTGAGTGTTGTAGTCCTACCAAGAGATATGATAAGATGTGTAAATGAGGTTAGGTTTAATAAGTTGGATATTCGGTAGCATCTTTTTAAGAGTACATGTGAGACATGGACGCAGAGTAGAACTCTGAGATTCTTGATCCGAGACAATAGGTTACACATAGTAATTCATTATTTATCCAAGAGTATGGTTAAGTATAGTTATTCATTACTGATGCATGAGTTTGGATTAAGTATAGTCATTCATTACTAGTCAGGAAGTATGGATTAAGTATAGTCATTCATTAAGGATCCGAGAGTATGGATGAAGTATAGTCATTCATTACAGATCTGAGGGTAAGAATTAGGTATAATCATGCCACATTGGTTCAAGAGCATGGATTAGGCATAGTCATTCATCACCAATCCAAGAGCATGGATTAGATATAATAAATCGAGTATTCCATTATTTCCCTTGTTGTCTCTGTTGATTCTCATTTACTGCCATCGAATCCCTAAAGCAACATAATTAAATTATTATTCACATTAATCCTTCTGGTTAAATGTGGTAAGGTTATATAGGATCAATATGTGAGGATCGTCGGGATAAGGGTAGATGGCTTATATGAGATATACTTGCATAAATGATAAGGAATTATCTTATAAGTTTTAATATATATATATATATATATATATATATATATATATAGACACACACACACACACATTATAACATTGTGGGATTGAAATCCCTATGTATTCATCAGGTTTCCCAACCCCACCTACTAAGCTTCTTTGTATCACAGGTAGCGGTACATAGGTACATGCATGATAAGAGATTCAAGGAGATGTAGACTGATAGTCTAAGATAGTGTAAGGGTTGTTTATGCTTATATTTCTTGTATAATTTATGACATCCCAAATTTTTTAATAATCAATGAAAAACATTTCTTCAAAAATACTTTTATGGGACAAATTCCGCATTTATAAATAAACTATGTTTTAAATAAGCATAAATAAAAAGTTTTAAAATTGCTGTAAAATTAGGGATATCACATCACTATACACACATCTAATATCGATACAAACATCATAAATCATGAAACAACTTCGACTACAGTTCTTGAGTCAACAACTGTTATTCCACCCGAAGGTCCTTCTACCAAGTCCAATATGGAGGAGGATAGGTCTTCGAGAATCATTGAGAACTTATCTAATAAGGACTTAAATGTCAACATGGGTGAGAATCCTTCAACTTCTGCTCCAGATTCTTCAAGTGTTCTACCAACACCTTCATCAATACAACCAAATTCGATAATTCCGCCTACAAAATTTCCTTTTAATTCTCCTACTTTTGAAGGTATCATGACACAACCAATTGATGCTCTATTATCTTCTCAATCTACTGATCAGGATATGACAAATAATGAGGAAGATGAAACGATTAAGTTTTATGAATTAGAATTTGATCCTAAAGAAGAAGATGTTGAAGATCACACAATCATGTCCGGGAAGCAATACATATTTCTTTACTCCAATTTGATCATAATTATTCAGTTTATGAATGACTCTTCTGGTTTTACAGCTTCTTCTATAAGTAAATAAGATGTTGAAATCTCAAGAAACAAAGACAAAGACTATTTCACCAATGCAGTTACACAGTTAGAGACTCGTCTTACGTACAACATGACTTCTTACAATTTTGATATTACACAATTTCAAAATGTTTATCGGTAGATACATGAGATATTTAAGAAGATGGTGACCATTTCAAAGGATTCTATTATTTTAAATATTCGATACTTTGTTGATTAGGTCAAGAAGTTGAAGTTGAAGAAGGAGGTCAAGAAGTTGGATAAATTTTGTCTTGAAATTCAACAGAATGTTGATATTCTTCTTGGTGTTACACGAACATTGATCGAAGACATTCATGCTTTCAATATGGATTATGCTTAAGGGTTGCAGTTGAAGAAGGAATCTGATGAGAATGTCTTTAGAAGCATTAATAATTCAATAACAAGCTTTCATGATAGATTATCAAAGTTTGATGTTCAACCAACAACTTCAATTTCAGAGGAAAAACATTCTAAAGTTGTTTCTTCAGTAGAGATTTATTTTAAAACTCAACTTGCTCCAATTCTCGATCTTGTTCTTCGATTACCTACAAATGATCCACGCATATTAATGCTCATGTCACAATAAGAAGATAAGGGTGGTTCATCGAAGGATGGAGAGGAAGAAAAAGGAAAGGTAGTTGGAAAGATTTACACCACACAAATCCCAACTCCAATTCCTGTGAAACATGATCAGACAGCTTCGATAACAACGTCATCTCAAATGTTAAAGTTGTTGTTTCAAAACTTCAATTGAAGAAGGGGATGAATATAAACTAAGGAGGTTTAGGTTCTTCGACTGTAAAATCTGTTGCAAACTCATAATCGAAGGGAAAAGTAAAAAGGTGTTCATGTTGAGCCTGCTGCAGAAGAAAAGAAGAAATTACAAGAACTTGAAATACAGAAAATGAAGCAACTTAACAATATAATGAGACTGAAAGCAAATGACCCACTTGGTCTTGAAAATAGGGGATCCAAGTAAAGTGTGGTGTTATGAAACCATCGAGTGAGTAGCTTATTGTGAAGTTGATACATTTGAAAAATAGCCAAAGAAAAGTTATGCCATCGAAGATTCAGATTTTAATCAATTGGACTTCCCATTCAATCATACAATGTTCACATTCGCTCAGCTTAAGCTTGCTGGAAATTATCAAGATTCAGAGAAGTACAAAAGTATGAAGATAAGATTTCATGTAGTTCTCGGAAAAAAAAAAAGTTTGGTCCTTAGTAAAAATCATTAAACTTGTATCAATAACTCCAGATGTCATTTTCGAAGTAGTTGTTCAAAATTATCGATACAAGGTGGTCAGGGCTAATTATACTCTTTATGAGTTCACTATTGTTGACTTTCCACTGATGAACTTGAATGATCTTATTACTGTTACGAAGATTATGGGAGATATGAATAATGATCGAGTTCAAGATAAAGTATCTTACATCATTAGATATAGGCATATCAAAAGCTTCGTAGACTGTTACTATGCTCATTTGTCATTAACAGACTTCGAGTTTCCTACTGCCTTTAATAAAAAGCTAAAAGTTCCTATGTCAATTTTTAAAGGTAATTTAAACATTGATGACTATGAAGATGGTGAAATCCTTATGAAATCAAAGGGTGTAGTGTTTCAGGGAAAGAACATGAAAGGAGGCAAAAAGAAATACTTCTTCCATATTGATGATAAAGAAATGCATTCTAATCAGAATCTTTCTAGCATTCTTCTTCGCAATAATAAATGTAATAAGAATTCTAATGAAGATAGAGTAGCGATAAAGAAGATTATCATTTTGAATATGGAAATAAGAGGAGTATTATTGATGGTGATAAAGACGCTACCTAGAATTTGAAGATTCAATATTGATCACAAAGAGGGGGGGGGGGGATTGTAGAGTCGAAGATGTTCTGATATATCAAAGTCTTAGGTAGTAGTCGAAGTGTTGTTTAGAGTGTCTGGATTGAAGGTATACATGACTTCGATTATGTATGTATTTTATCAGGAATTGATATTGTATCTCTTTCAATGTCGAAGTCCTGATATATATATATATATATATATATATATATATATATATATATATATATATATATATATATATATATATATATATTGTATATGTCAAGTACGCTAGAAATAGTGTAGGGCTTAAGTTATTTGTAACTTTTGCAACTTTGTGCTTTCACTTTTATTCTCACAAATGTACGTTGTGCTCTCCAGATAATATGAGTTGAATCAAAATTATATTTACATCACCGTGTTCATATGAACTCTGATTACATATTCGATTGATTTCATAACACTTCATAACTAGGTTTGCTACTAATCAGACTAGTAAAGTTATTGTTGTTGCTGATACGTGAAACTAGGACCCTATAAAGGATCGTGAAGCTATTTTGGGCGTAGACCATTTCGAAAACCACCCCGGCTTCCCCGATGGTTGTTGTCGTGATGATTTCCATGGGTGGAAGATTCCACAGTAAGCACAGTAGGAGAGGAAGAGGGTTTGTGAGGTGTTGGTTCTTGTTTGGCACATTCTTTGATCTTTAAGAAGAAGCAAAGACATGCCTCTAGAAAGGTCAGGAGAGGGATGCGATATCGGATAAGGCTTACGATGTACTCATATTTAGAGGAGAGATTGTTGATCATGTAGGTAAAAATAATTTTCTCGGGCACTATGTCATCAACATTGTCGAGAAAGCATGTGATAGATTTGATGCAAGTGCAATATGCAGTGAGGCATGAACCATTGATACTAATGATACGAAGTTCCTAGTCAACTTGGTTGATCTTTGTGTCTTTTTTATCATAGAATAATATTTGCAAATTGATCCAAATGTGACGGGCCATTGTTTTTCATTCGAATAATAAGTTGCAAGAGGGTGCCATCTATTCAAAGCATCACAATGGAATCAATGTTCTTCTATTTGTGTTCATGGTAGGTGGTATATGGATTGTGGTGTATCACACAATTTTTCCATATGATCAAGAATGTCAAATCCAGTGCAAAGAGCCTCAAAAGCACTCTCCAAACATGGTAGTTGAGTTGTTCAAGGTATAGTAAAAGATGGACATGGGCTTTAATGTCGGTTATTTCAAAGGGTTTTTCAAAAGTAAGTAAGTCTTTGTTGTTTGTGTTGGTAATTTAGAAAGAAGAGGAGGGAAAAGAGTAGATAATAGGAAAACATCGGGAGGAGTAAGGTAATAAGGTATTACAACAACTAGATTAAGGTTTTAGTGTGTGCTATTTAATATCATGTTAACGAATGATTTTTTCATAAGGATATTTCCATATTATATGATATTTATATCAATATACAAAGACCTTTTATAATACAAATACGCATAAGGGTGGATGGATGGTCTAACATAATATGTAATTCTATACTAACACATAATTATAACCAAAAAGATTGTATCTTAGCCGTATATTTTGTTGGTACAAAGTTGTCCTTCGATCAAATGTTTGAAGGTTCAAGTGTCGTTGGTGACAAAGTAGTTTAACAATAATGTATAAGTGTGTGTTTGCCTTTCCGGAAAAAATATAATAATAAAAAAAAAGAATTAAGAGCATCCACAGTAGATAGTTTAATTGAAGAGTTGAATGAGGTGTCATGTCTAGTTGTCAGTTAATGGATAGAACTCCACTATTATGAAATGTCACATTGACATTCAATGGATTTGGAGTTCAATGGTCATTGAACTCTTCAATGGAAAAAAAATAAAAATCTTTAAATCTTTAAATAAATACTTTTTTAATATGTTTCTTTGAACTTTTAGAGTTTAATACATTATGAGATAAAAATGAATAGAATTGTATGGAATAGTGAATGATGATGTGATACTCCATTAAACTCTATAGAATTCAATGCATGTGGATGTCCTAAGAACTAAATTACCATTGTTGATAAAAATTAAAATATTTTGCAATAAATGTTTTTTCAATAAAATATATATGTTCTTCTTGAAATCAACTGAATAAAATAATACTCTTGTATTTACGTGATCATCATTTGGGCAATTTTAGTATATAAACCCTCTCAGTGTTGTACATAGAGCGCCATATTCAACATCATCCTCTCTTTCTATTTCCATCTCCTTTCCAAATTGAGCTTTTCCTTATCCATTAATACAATACTCTCGACAAAATGCCTGGAATCGCCATTGGTAGTTTGGGTGACTCCTTCAGTGGCAGCTCTATCAAAGCCTACATTGCAGAGTTCATCTCCACCTTGCTCTTCGTCTTCGCCGGAGTAGGTTCCGCCATCGCTTATGGTAAGTTCAGAACTCCCCATAACCATTACTAACTGATCTATCATGATATATCTCCATAACCCAATTCCTTTTTTTGTTAATTTGTTACAGGCAAATTAACAGCAGATGCTGCCCTAGATCCAGCTGGTCTTGTAGCCATCGCTGTTTGCCATGGATTTGCTCTGTTTGTTGCCGTATCAATCGCTGCCAACATCTCCGGCGGCCACGTCAACCCAGCTGTCACCTTCGGTTTGGCCGTCGGCGGCCAGATCACCGTCCTTACCGGCGTGTTTTACTGGATCGCTCAACTTCTTGGCTCCACCGTCGCATGCTTCCTTCTCAGCTTCGTCACCGGAGGCCTGGTAAGCATTGTAGACTTTTCTTTACGATTTGTACTACACGTAAGCAAAATGAGCAGGTGAAACAACTTGGATAATATGAGGAGTATTATTTTCAATTTTTTGTTTGTTTTATCAATGATTAATTTATTAATATAATTTCATAACTATAAAAGTAATATTAGAAGACTTTTATATAAAAATATTTATAAAGTTATAAACACTTATTATGTTATGTTAAGTGTTTTTTTTTTAAATAATACTTATGTTTTATGTATTTTTTTTTTCAGGCTGTTCCTACACACAGTGTTGGAAGCTTAGGAGCAATTCAAGGGGTGGTTTTCGAAATTGTTATCACATTTGCGTTGGTGTACACAGTGTACGCCACCGCATGTGACCCAAAGAAGGGGTCAGTGGGCACAATTGCCCCAATGGCAATCGGTTTCATCGTTGGTGCCAACATTTTGGCAGCAGGTCCATTCTCTGGTGGATCAATGAATCCAGCTAGATCTTTTGGACCTGCTGTAGCCAGCTTTGACTTTTCTGGACACTGGGTGTACTGGGTCGGACCCCTGATTGGCGGTGGTTTGGCCGGAGCCATTTACCCAAATGTGTTCATCTCAGATGAACACATTCCCGTCTCCAACGACTATTAGATTTTCATCGTTATCGGTTGATTGTGTGGAATTAAGTTCCAAGGCTTTTTTAATTGTACAAATAAGTAGAAAAGCAATTTGTTTGTTTTTCTTTGTTCTTGTTTATTCATATTTATGAGATGCTCATAAGATTGTGTTTTTTCGTAATTGGGTAATGGAACAAATGCATGATTGGTTAGTAAAAGGACCCACGTGTTGTGTTTAATTTGGCATTATTGGTTTGTAAATGGACCACATTATGTGTTTAGTTTGGTTTGGTAGGTTTTGGGCCCCTTTGGGTTGTTTTTTTCAATGAGTTAAGGGAAACAGAATATAGTGGGTGGTGGGCCTATTTGATCAATAAATGCATGTCATGTGATTCCAATCCAATGCGGATATGTTCAAACTTCAAAGTTGTAGGATGTAATATACGGGACTTGAAGTTTAAATTTGTTATAGATACAAATTTATGAGAAATGGGTGAATTTATAATTTGGATTTATTGATCAAATCAGTTTTTTCATTCATAAATAAGAGGGGGTATTCTTCGTGATGAATGCAATGTTAAACTTTGATTCACCATCTTATGAAATACTATGGTTGTAAAAAAATCATGAAAACTTGATGACATAAAAAGTTATAATTTGATCTTAATATCTTTCTAATTAAGAGCGTTAAATTGGATGTGACATGTGGTAGTCACCTACAGTGTCCTTAATATTTTAACATAGGGGTACCCTTTAATATATCCAACCTCACCTAGAGTGTAAGTTGAATAAAATTGATCAAGTGATGTAACGTGATATATTGACATGGTATTACTTTCTTATGATTGTTTATGATTGTTCTTATCAGCTTAATTGTATCATGTGAGCCTTTCTACCACAATGATAACATTATTAAACATTGAAAATGGAATTACTGAGATGCTTACCTCTAATAATTGGATTTTTTTACTGTTTGTTTATGAGCACTAATATGACTGTGAAACGGAACAAAGATTTTTTTTTCTCGTTGCTTAATATAAAATACTATATTTAACCAATTACTTGACCATAATGCCATATGGTGCAAAATATGACAATAATATCTTAAAAGTTTCCAAGAAAAAAAACAAGATAAACAATGAGTCATCAACCATGTATAGCGTCTTCAAACATGATATCTATGCCCACAAGATAAACAATGAGCCATAAACCATAAACTGGATCATTCCATAATTAAAATAAAGAAAATATGTTCCATTGGCAGTGATTGTTAAGTTATCTTTAGGTTTATTAATTTTCTAAATGATATTGAAGCAATCTAGATTCTAGGCGATAAACCTGCATAAACACGGGCACGAGACTATTGATCTTACAAATATAAACATATTTTCAGGTCACATAACATATTTTCACCCCACTGAAATATTTAATATCACAAAACATATTTTCAGACCAACAGACATATTTATGTATACTAGATAGACTATGACAAAAACATCTTAACTTCCTTTATAAAACTCCAAAAGTTTTGTTGTTTTTTATCTGGAGTTTTTCAAACATATAAGATACATGATTTTTTGACATATTGGTTATTCCAGACTATTCGTTGAAGTTGGTCCAAAAGATATTTTTTCAGATCACCGTATATTTTTTTGGTATACTGAACAGCCTGTGACAAAAATGTTATGAATCTTTCCACAAAACTTTAAAAGACTTACCGCTTTTATTGGTAACTATACATCCACATCTTTCCAAAAATATAACATAAATGGTTTTCTAATTCTAGATTATTCAATAAAATATCCCGTGGAAAACATGGTAACTCCCTCTACAAAGCTCCAAAACATTTTCCTTCTTTTAATTGGAAAATACACATCCATAGCTTTCCATACATATAAAATACACGATTTTTGGATATTTGGATCGTTTCAGACTTTCCATTACAATTGGTAGAAAAAAAAATATTTTTTCAATCAAGCGAATATAATTTTGAACACCGGACATCCTACGAAAAAAAACATCATAACTCCCTCCAAGAAACTCCAACAGACTTATCATTCTTTATAAACATTCGGGACTTTCCAAGCATATAATAAACATGATTTTTTGCCTTCTCAATAATCCAAGACTTTCACGTTGGAGTTGGTCCAATTTTTTTTCAGACTATCAAACATTTTTATTCGTCCAATTTTTTTTCAGACTATCAAACATTTTTATTCATTGGTCTTCCTATGGAAAAAACATCATAACTCCCTCTACAAAATTTCAAAATGTTTGTCATTTTTTTCAATGGAAACTACACATCAATATCTTTCCCAACAGATAACATATACGATTTTTTAACTTCTAGATCCTTCCACACATCACACTGAAGTTGGTTGAAAAATATTTTTTTCATACCACTGAATATTTTTTATACCCTATATATCTTATGGAAAAAGAAAATCATAACTCCATGTACAAAACTGCACAAGACTAATTGTGTTTTTAAATTGCAAAATACACATCTAGAGCTTTCCATACATTTAAAATACACGATTTTTATACTAGTGGATTGTTTCAGACTTTTCATTGATATTGGCCCAAAAATATTTTTTCAGACCACCGAACATTTTTTTTGTACAGTATACATCATATGGAAAAACGTAATAATTTGCTCTATAAATTTTACTAAGGCTTCATGTTTTTTCATTGAAAATTACATATCAAAAGCTTTCAAGAATACAAAATACATGATTTTTTGGACTTTTGAATCGTTCCAGATTTTTCATTGAAGTTGGTCTAAAATTATATTTTTAGACTACCAAACAATTTTTTGTACATCAGATATTTTATGGAAAAAACATCATAACTCGCTTTACAAAACTCTAAAAGACTTGTCATTTATTTCATTAGAAACTATATATCTAGAGTTTTCCAAACATATTAAGTTAATGATTTTTGGACTTCTAGATATCCTGTGGAAAACATGTAATAACTTCATCTACAAAACTCCAAATATAACACCTATTTCTCATAACTACTAATATTAAGGGGGTGTAATACTTTTATAATTTCAATAAAAGGTTAAGACAAGTAGTTTTACTTGAATGTATGAAAGGGTGAAAGTAAAGTATATATGGATGTGAAGTTTTAAGGATGAATGAGGTATACCATTTTGTTAACAACACCCTAAATTTTGCAATCTTTTTTAACTTTAAAATGTTATGGATTTAACAAAATCATTAGGGGTATTATCCTACATTTAACAAAAACCGGTCCCACAAAAACATTTATGATTAAACTATTGGATCTTACCATTAAACATCATACAATTTATAGCACGCAAATAAGAATTACATCAAGATCATTTAAAAAGGAATTTAACAAGTTCCACTCCATTCTCTCTCTCTCTCTCTCTCTCTCTCTCTCTCTCTCTCTCTCTCTCTCTTTTGATCTATCTATCTATCTATCTATCTATCTATCTATCTATCTCCCTCTCTCTCTCTCTCTCTCTCTCTCTCTCTCTTAACTTTTATCCTCCATCTATCATCTTTTCCGCTTAATTGCAATGTGGGATACATGACATTAACAAGAGATACATAAGATAAAAATGTCTTGTGAGCTACGAGGGTTTGCGACCCAAAACATTTATTAGATTTTCATTAAAAACATTTATCTTTGCAAAACATATTTTAAATAGACATTATAACACCTTGTTCAGAATTATTTCTTAATTCGGGGTCGTGATCCGAAGATCAGTTATCATAAGGCTTATGGTCTTGGGAAAGAGAGATTTAGACCCCTTTGGGGGTGGGTAAGTTGGAGCTCACAACATGAGGATCAATTTAACAGAAATGTTGATTTGAATTGTGCTCATAGTGTGAGAATTAAGAGCAAACAACGTGAGGAACGTTGGAGCCCAAGCCCACGATCTTTTAAGGTTTTCATCGTATTTAAACCCCATAAGCTTCACTTTAGGGTTCCAAACCATCCTCTTTCACCCTTAAACTCAATAAAACCCTAACCCTAGCCTCTCCTTGTGTTCTTGAGCTTTTGGTGGTGTTTTGGAGGTTTGAAAAATAAGAGGAAGAGCATTTAGTCCCTCATTTCTGCATATAAGCCTCACCATCATCCATTTTAGCATTTTCTGGACTTGTTGTGAGTTTCAAGTTCATTTCTTTATGTGTCTATAAGCCTAGATCTAGATTTTGTGTGCTCATTTCTCTAGATCCAAGTTGATGTGGTGATTGGAATCCATAAAGTTGCCAACTTTATGGATCTCTAGGGTTCCTTGAGAGTGATAGTTGCTAGATCTATAGTTTGGTAGAGTTTTATGAATCTTGCATAAGATTTGATGTCATGTTTCCCCAATTGTGACCTAATTGGTGTTGGGACATGTATTAGACATGCATGTCCAAAAAGCTATGATTTTGTATGGTGTTTTGGAATGAATAATACTGTATGGAAGGTATGGTAGCTTGTCACGATGGATTAAGAAGTTTTTGAATCAAATATGGCATTCAGATGGATCTCACGGTGTGAGGAGATCCATCTCACATCGTGAGGATGACTAGGTTCGATTATTTTGTCATGTTATTGTAACACCTAGAATCAGGAAAACCAAGAAAAGAAAGTTTAAGCTCTAAATCAAGAGTCAACTCGTCGAGTCCAAGGAGGAACTCGACGAGTCGGAGCGGGGTCCGGGTCATTGAGTAAGTGACCGACTCGGCGAGTCAGCGAATGAACTCGACGAGTTTGGTCTGGGCGAGAAAAACCCTAATCCAGAGGTTGTGCCCTATATAAAGCACATTATAACTCACCCTCGGCCTCTTTGCTCCCTTTTTGAGTTCCAGAAACCCTAGATTTGAGTGAGCCTTCATTATTTGAGAGAATAGAGCCTTGGAGGAGAGAATCTTGGTGAGGGGCTTGAAGATCAAGGGCTTTGCTGCAAAGGAGTGATGTAGATCCGAGATTTACTTCAGTTGGAGCTTCCATTTGAGGTAATAGTCTGTTGTTTGGGCTTATGTGCATTTAGACCTATCTTATGTTTGAGTTTTGGGCATTTTGAGTATGGATGAGATCTATTTTGAGTTTGGAGTAGATCTGAGGTTGCTACCTCAGATCTATGTTGGTAATAAACCAGAAAGTCATAAAGTTTAGGCTAATAATTTGTTGGTGAATCCCCTTTGTTATAAACCCTAGCCCTATAGTGTTCTAAGCCTATAACTCCTTGGTTACACATAAAGTTTGCTACTTTACGTGGGGGTTAGGCTCTAGAGGAATGGATCTATGGATTTGAGCCCCTGCATGGCTTGAAAAGCCACTGTATGGATTAATAACTGAAGAGACTCGGTGAGTCACATGGGTGTACTCGACGAGTTGGATGAAGTTAGGCAGCAACTCGACGAGTTGGAAGAAAAACTCAGCGAGTCTATTGAAGATTGCCTTGGACTCGGCGAGTCTGTTCTTGGACTTGATGAGTCAAGTCGCGAAACCCCAAACCCTTCGAGTTAA